GGTTCATCTGTCTTTTATTATGGGGTGAGGGAATGTGTCCTCAGCCAAGAATTTAGAAGGCCAGAAGGAAAATTATTTTTCCTAACAAAGGTAAAGGCTTCACCACTGTCTACTAACATCTACAGGATCTGGCCCCTCTGCTACTTAGCATCCCCTCTTCCTACTCTTGTGCTCCTTCACTTGGTTTCAGCAATACTGGCCTTCTTGCTGTTCTTAGAACATGGCAGGTAGGTTTCAGTCTTTCTGGCACACTTTCCGCCCAGATATCCACAGGGTTTACTCCCTCTTTTATCTTTGCTTCAAATGTTACCTTAGTGGGCCGCCTGGGTGGCTCAGTCGGTTGGGTGTCTGCCTTCAGCTCGGGTCATGATCCCGGGGTCCTGGGATCGAGCCCCACATTGGGCTCCCGATCCTCTGGGAGCCTGCTTCTCCCTTTCCCTCTGCCTGCCGCTCCCCCTGCTTGTTCTTGCTCTCTCTCTCTGTCAAATAAATAGATAAAATCTTAAAAAAAAAAATGTTACCTCAGTGAAGCCAATTCTGATCCACCCTTTCAATTTTGCACCCTTCCTTTCCATACTCTAGACCCTCCTTCCTTTATTTCTTGCATAGCACTTTCAACTTCAAACATACTGATTGATTGATTTCGATTGTTTATTGTCTTTCCCTCTGTAACTAAAATGTTAGCTCCAGGTTGGCAGGCACTCTTCTCTTTTTGTTCACGGATGTATTCCCAGCACCTGAAACAGTGCTGGCACAGAATAGACACCGTGTTTGAGTAAGGATTTGCTAAGTGGATAAATGAATGGATGGACGGTCTTCGTGACCAGATGATAAAAGCACCTACCCATTTTTCTTCTAGTACTTCAATGGTTCTACCCTTTACATTTAAATCTTTGAGTTGGAATTAAGTGGATAAATGAATGGATGGACGGTCTTCATGACCAGATGATAAAAGCACCTACCCATTTTTCTTCTAGTACTTCAATGGTTCTACCCTTTACATTTAAATCTTTGAGTTGGAATTTATTCCAGAGTAAAAAGTGTGGTGTGAATCCAGATTTTCCCCCCCTTCAAATGCCTAATTGTCTCAACACAATTTATTGCAAAATCCATTGTTCTCCACCCCCTCATTTGAAATGTTTCTGAAGACATACTTCAGTTCCTTTTAATCAAGTATTAAGTTTGGTAAAAACTCATTATCTCCTTCATTGTGGAGAAACGTCCAGTAGAATTAGATCTTCATCCCTTCTGCCAGTTTCTATAGAGATACCAGAGCCACACTTTGGTTTACAAAGTTTTTCCTCGCTTATTGTAGCTAAGTTGGCTATCTTCTGGACAGTGGCTACTTTAAGTGGTTTGGAAAGTCTCCCAATCTGTAATCTCACGAAATTCTTCCCTCCCTTCCTTCTTCTTGCTGGACACCAGATAACAGACGTTTCTAGAACACACGGCAGAATATCTTTCTGTCGTTTGGAGAACAGGCATAACTGGATGCAGAGGGACCCTTCCTAAGAAAATGCAAGCCTGCCCGGAGAGCTTCAATTTACTCATCTCAGAGTGAGCCTTAATTTGATGATCACAGTTTCTTTTTTTTTTAAAGGGTTTTTTTTTAATTAAGCAGAAGTTATTTCTTAATCATTTAATTGCTTTTCGTTGTTGTTTGTTTTAGTAAAAAAAAAATGTGAACCCTTTGCAGGTAAATTGAGATTTAAGAAAAGGCTACAGTATTCATTAAATACTCGCTATGCCCCCCATCTCATACTAAGTACCATGGAGAACAAAAAGAGCTTGCAAGTCACTCAGCCGACATTTATTTGGCACTGATTATATTCCAAAGATACCTAGTGGTGAACTAATATTGCTTGACTCAGTCTATCAATCAATCATCGAAATGGCATCTGGAAAGAATCAACTGGACCGAGGGAAAAATTATAGTAAAGCGAACATATAACTAAATGATAATCCAAAGGAGTAAGTCGAAAGAAAGCAGCAAAGGGAAAAATCTAGAGGATCCATGAAGGGGAGGGGTGGGTTTCAGAGATTACTTTTGGGCTGTGTGAGACCTGCTTCTCCCACTGTCCCTTGGCCAGATCCCTTCACACGGGGCTGGCCCACCTCCCCTCTCCAGGATGACATCAGCAATACCCTGCTTCTGGCTCCTCCCTCCCCCAGTATAGTTTCCAGACAGCAGCCGTGGTGATCTCTTTAAGATGGAATCTGGCTACCTCAGTCCACCTCTTAAAAAGGCTCCCCTCTTCACTGCTACCTGTATCTAGTCAGTAGGCCCTCCCTCTCTAGCTTCTTCTTCTGTCCCCTCAGTCTTGACTTGCACTCTGGCTTCTTGTCCTTGGAAGTCCTGTCCCCACCCCCCCCACCCCCACACACACACTCCTGGGCACTCATTGCAAAGACCAGACTGATCTGGTCCACATAGATGCACATTTCCCTCTTGAGACTCAAGGGGACAGGGACATTTATTGTAGAGTTGGCCTGGCTGAGTCTCAGAGCCTAGGGGAAAATCTGGTAGTGCTCTGTCTGGATTTGAGACAGAAATACAGTGCCTGCCGATCCGGGGGGAGGGATTTCTCTTGATTCCTCCTGGGGGTGCAGACTGCTTGCTGAGCCAGGCATTTAAGTGGTTTTTGCCAACCTGGCCAATTCCCAACTATTGCCACAGCCAGTAATTTACATAACTCATCCTGAAGGCAAATGGACAGGACTTTTGCTTTATTTGTCATTATTTGGCTAGGAAATAAAGGAACCAATATTCTTGCCCTACTGAGTACTATTCCCTCCAGTAATGATACTAATTCAGAGCTGGTTCCAAGGCTCCTTGGGGTTTCTACCCATGACTTGAACATCATTTACTACCACCTGCCCAGCTTATACCATAATACACCATGGGCAGAGTAATTTTTTTTTAAGGTTTTATTTATTTACTTGCCAGGGAGAGAGAGAGAGCACAAGCGGGGGGAGCGGCAGGCAGAGGGAGACGCAGACTCCCTGCTGAGCAAGGAGCCCCATGCAGGACTCCATCCCAGGACCCTGGGATCATGACCTGAACCAAAGGCACAGGCTTCACCAACTGAGACACCCAGGCGACCCTGGGCAGAGAAATTGTAACTGTGAAGAAGGAAAGTAACAATTTTTAGTAAATCCTACCCCCACCAAGATAAACTGGTAACATTTTAGCATATTTCCTTCCAGTTGTTTCTCTCCATATACAGATTTTCTAGTTAATAATGTGTGATCTTGGGCCTTCTTTTCCCATTGTGTTCTCTTTTTTGGTGGTCTCATTCTTTTTTTTTTTTTTAAAGATTTTATTTATTTATTTATTTGAGAGAGAGAGACAGAGAAACAAGCATGAGAGGGGAGAGGGTCAGAGGGAGAAGCAGGCTCCCCACTGAGCCAGGAGCCCGATGTGGGACTCGATCCCAGGACTCCGGGATCATGGCCTGAGCCGAAGGCAGTCGCTCAACCAACTGAGCCACCCAGGCGCCCTGGTGGTCTCATTCTTGTATTATCATTTGTAAGCGACAATTTAGCCCTGATCTCTACTCTGAGCATCAAGTTTCTCCACGTCTCCATCCCAAACTTGCTTCTCTGCAACCATTTTGGTAAGTGGCCACCACCATTTATGCCAGATACTTAGTCATCCATACTGACTTCCGTTGCCTCAATTCTACCCCAGTCCTTTCCCATCTGATTCATTGGCAAATTCTGTCCACACTACCTGCCACACATACCTAACAATTGTTCCTTCCTCCTCATCTCCACAGCCACCACCCTAATTCAAGGCCCCTCTCTCTCCAGGTCTGTTCACACAACCCCAGTGGTATCCCTCCTTTCACACTTAACCCTCCGCAATCTTTGAATGGGTTCGAAGATTCTGCCTACCTCCTTGGCTCCCTCTCTTGATGCCCCTTAAATTGCTGTCACCCTGGATCTTTCTCTTGATCTGTGCTTTCTGCTTAGTGCTCTCTCTTCTTGAAAAGCTTTCCCATGGCTAGTTTCTTTTCTCCATTCAGATCTGATGTGACATCTAAAATCAAATTTGGTCTCCCATATATTGTCTACCAAAGCACCTAGTTTACTTCCTCCCTGGCACTAATCACAACATGTAACTGTTTTGTTATTTGTATTAAAATTGTTTTCGTTGGTTTTTAAATAGAGAATTTAAAATTTTTGTAATCCCCCCCAACACGAGTAGATTGGCACCGATAAAATACACAATGCCTACTTAAATTTGAGTTAAACATCAAGTAAGTTTTTTGTATATGATTTTGGGACATACCTATGCTGAAAAAATTTATCTGAGATTCAAACTTAACTGGGCGTCCTGTATTTTTATTTGCCAAATTTGGTAGTTTTACCTTCGAAGTAAGTGCCTCCTTTCCCTTGTCTCGCTTGTTCTGGGTTGTATCCTCACAGGCAAGCCCAGAGCCTGCCTTTTATTAGTAGGTTTTCAGTCATTGTTCTATATGGAATAACTGTCTGCCGTTTTGTACCTTTTTCCCCCCTAAGTGACATTCATTTATCAGAATTTTCCCCATTCACTACAAATTCTTGTTGAAGATATTTTGGGAAGACGTATTTTATCATCTAAACTTCTTTGTTTCCCATTTACGCAAAATTGGCATAGTTAGGAGTATCTACCTTCATCACATTGTTTTGAGAATTAAATGAGTTAATGGGTATAAAGTTTAGCACCGCGTCCGGCCCCCTAGAATATGCAATAAATTTCAGTTCGGTATTAAATGTAGCTAGCCCCTGAACCATTTTAGCGGAAAGCAAAAACGCGGGTTTGTGGAGCACGGGTGGGGGCTGGGGGCTGGGGACGGTTAGAAACGGGCGCCGGCTAGAACGCGGAGGGCCCGGGGAAAGGGGAGGGGCAAGGAGTGAATGACAGAGAAGACAGCCAATGGGGAGACTGGGAACCGCTCCCCCTCCCTTTGCGTTTCAAATTCTAAGCTCGGTTTCCATCCGGGTCCTTCAGCCTCGTTCCCGGGCAGTATAAAGTTTGCTGTCTCCTTTGTTCGCCCTCGTTGCGCAGTAGTGCTAGCGGCTTCCCTATTCCGCTCTCGGAACCGGCGGCACTCCCTCGTGCTGAGCTGCTACGAAGCCCCTGCCGGCGAGCTCGTAGGAGCTTGGAACCGTCGTCACCCCTCCGGTACGTGTTACCCTTCCCTTCGTCCGTTTCTTGTACCTTCTTGCCACGTTAGAACTTGGGATTATCTCCCTGGAGATGGGGGTGGCGGGCGCCATTTTAAGAACCGAAAGGTGCCGACCTATTTCGCTAAAGCTACGCGTGTCCGAGGAAAACAGACGTGGGGGCTCCGTTTCGTTGTGTGCCTCTCGAGAAAGTTTGGCTGTCGCCTGCGGGGGGTGGTGCCGGAGGTCGCGGCTGGAACGGGACGAGGGCAGACCGCGCCACCGCGGTACCTGCATTGGGATGGCGCTGGCGCTACGGATGGGCACGTGCGCTTTTACGCGGGTCCTTGTTCATTGGCGGCCTTGGAGAGGAAGCCCTTTGAATTTTCCCAGCCACTGCTGATGGCCAAAGTTACTCCCCTGACCAGTGTAGGTTTTTCTGGGTTGAATCCAAGTGTCGCCATTTTGTGTTTTCCACGCGGTTTTTAATGACGGGTTTTAATTGGGTTCTGCTGCAGTCATGGAGTGTTGAGTGATACGATGCGCGCTTCCACCTTCCGTTATTATGAAACGATACTGAAACCTTTTTTGTTTTTCTTCTAAAAGAACCTTTTCGGCGGGGTTGGGGGCTGGTGAAGAAGAGGAGGTAAAACTTGGCTCAAACTTTAAATTTCTGCTGAGATTGATTAGAGAATCCTAATGAGGAAAGGCAAAGTTCTTGGAAGAGGACCTGCGTCTGGCCTGTGACCTTGAATGAGGCGATACACTTTAAAAAAAACCATTAGGGTAATTGGAATGTGATAATTGAATCTTTAAAAGGGAACACAAATAGGATTAAAACTAGAATTGCTTTTTCAAATGCTGAGTAGCTGTTAACTTAATTAAAATTGCCAAGGTGGATTAAGGATGAAGGTGTTAGCTAAGTTGGCCTTTTTAACTAGTTTAATGTAAACTCCGGTGTCACTAAACTACTTAAATTGGTTTCCTGCTGAGGCTTAGAAAAGAATACTTTTTGGTGTCTGCAGTTTATAAGAAATGATGATTTTAGTTAAAAACAAGGAAGATACACCAGTAAATATACTTGTGTCCCATAAACTTGAACTTTTTATAGGGAGGTAATACTGTTCGTTTTCAACAGTGTCTCACCAGGGGGGAAAAAATGGTTGAAGCAGATCGCCCAGGAAAGCTTTTCATTGGTGGCCTCAATACAGAAACAAATGAAAAAGCCCTTGAAGCAGTATTTGGCAAATATGGACGAATAGTGGAAGGTGAGTTGTCTGAAAGCATAAAGGGAGCTGTTAAAATAAAAAATGTAAGCTATGATGTATTTGATTGCGTTGATCGTCTGAAATGATACATTATTTTGTCCTCTAAGAAGTTCTGAGCTTACATTTTGTAGGCGCACTTCTGTTATTTAATTCGAACTAGAGTAACACTCCCCCCCCAACTACTTTTTTAGTTCTATTGATGAAAGATCGTGAAACCAACAAGTCGAGAGGATTTGCTTTTGTCACCTTTGAGAGCCCAGCAGATGCTAAGGATGCAGCCAGAGACATGAATGGAAAGGTGAGATTGCACAATGATACTGTTCCCTAGTGCATAAGCAGGGTTACTGAAGTCTGGTCTAGGGAAGTTCTTGAGTTGTGTTTGAATGTATACCTTTCCAGAACCCTCTAATCTTTGCCCTTTGTAATTTCCAATTTTGCAAAGTTGTGGATTATACTCTTATTAAATTGCTTCCGGTCAGAAAATTATATATGACCGTGTGTTACCTAGAATCCATAAAATGACTTGGTAACTTGGCTTTTATTTTCGGTTATCGCATTTGATAACAAGTTGTCTGCCTTTTTAAATTTTATTGACCAGCACTGTGATGGATTCACCTTATGTTGGCTCAACTGATCAGTAACGTTCTAAAAACCTTTGAATGGAAAAATGACCCTATATTTTATCGCATTTCTCAGATTAATTGGTGAGCTGAATTTACCTAAAAACTTCATTTTGGAGGGCACATTGGTGTCACAATGCATAGTGAATGGATCTGCAAGATCTCTTTAAATATGGATGCGATTAACCGTTTTGATGTTCTTTAGTCCTTAGATGGAAAAGCCATCAAAGTAGAACAGGCCACTAAACCATCATTTGAAAGTGGTAGACGTGGACCACCTCCACCTCCAAGAAGCAGAGGCCCTCCAAGAGGTCTTAGAGGCGGAAGAGGAGGAAGTGGAGGAACCAGGGGACCTCCCTCACGTGGAGGGCACATGGGTAATGACTTGAGTCTACCTCAGGCTTGTTGGAGAATTTTAGGAACTGCAAACCCCATGCCAGTCTGCATTGGTTAAGTGCTGTTGTAAATTCTCCAGCTTTTGATACTGCGAACACCTCATTTACCAAAGTCCTACTGACTTAAGAGAAACGTAGAAGGCATCCTAAGTTAGTATTTAAAAAAAAACGATGGATGGGAACCTGGCTGACCACTCTTGATCACAGGGCATGAGTTTGAGTCCAATGTTGGGTTGTAGAGATTACTTAAATAATAAAAAAATGAAACCATGGGCAACAAAATTATCCAGAATTTGCAGAAAATTTTTTCTCAGAAAATTTTTGATAACGCATACTTAAGTGTATAAAAATGAAACAATTTGTATTTTTCTTTGAAGCAACTTACAGTACACTTCAGTTTTGTTAGTCTGTATAGACTCCCTTATGCTTGGTAGTCTTGGGCAAGTGTAAAAACTCAAGATTCCCCAACTAAACAGAAAATGGTCATTGATACAACAAAGAAACCTTTTATTGATGCTAGAATTAACATGTTTTTCTTTTCTATTTCAATGTAGATGATGGTGGCTATTCCATGAATTTTAACATGAGTTCTTCCAGGGGACCACTTCCAGTAAAAAGAGGACCACCACCACGAAGTGGTGGTCCTCCTCCTAAAAGATCTGCCCCTTCAGGACCAGTTCGCAGCAGCAGTGGAATGGGAGGAAGAGGTAAATGCCGGATTTATAGAACAAAACTGTTATACCACTGTAACAGAGGATTGATAAGTGAATTTCAAAAATGATGCTTTAAAATAAAAAACTTAGGGGGGGCCTGGGTGACTCAGTCTGTTAAGCCTCTGCATTCAGCTCAGGTCATGATCCCAGTGTCCTGGGAACGAGCCCCATGTAGGGCTCCCAGCTCAGTGGGGAGCCTGCTTCTCCCTCTTCCCCTCCCTTCTGCTTGTGCTTTCTTGCTGTCTCTCTCAAAATCTTGAAGAAAATAAAATAAAAAACTTAAATGTTAAATATAAAAATGGTGCTTATGAAACTGACTCATGGACTAGAGGTGAATCTAGGTACATAAAGTTGTAAGTATTGAAAAGATTGTGAGTAGGAAATTTTAAAGAAGAAACGTCTTGATTTAGGTCCATACTGTCTTTTATTTGAATCCCTGCTTTTCATTGCCTGAATGTAAATGCACGTTTTAGCTTTCCATTTTGGGTATATTTTAAAAATGGGTTTTTTTTCCCCTTAAGCTCCTGTGTCACGCGGAAGAGATAGTTACGGAGGCCCACCTCGACGGGAACCCCTGCCCTCTCGTAGAGATGTTTATTTGTCCCCAAGAGATGATGGATACTCTACTAAAGACAGGTAACAGACAAATGTGCTAGTTTGTCTTACTAATAATTGAGGTTGAAGGGAGAAATTTTCAAAAGTGTGAACCAAGTTAAATTTTGTTTTTGTAGCTATTCAAGCAGAGATTACCCAAGTTCTCGTGATACAAGAGATTATGCACCACCACCAAGAGATTATACTTACCGTGATTATGGTCATTCCAGTTCACGTGATGACTACCCATCGAGAGGCTATAGGTAAAGTAATATTGCTGCTTGCCACAAGCTTGCTGTAAAAAATGAAACTGCTCTGAAAATTGATGCTCTGTAACTAAACAAGTTTTTCTCTTGGATTTAGTGATAGAGATGGCTATGGTCGTGATCGTGACTATTCAGATCATCCAAGTGGAGGTTCCTACAGAGATTCATATGAGAGTTATGGTAAGATACTGGTTGAGGGTCTTTGAATATCACCAGCTTGAGTTTTTAGGTTCATGAGCCACTTTATTAGGCTGTGTGGTGCTTGCTTTTTAAGGGATATTTGCTTGCTTTTAAGGGGTAACTTTATCAGCTGGGCTTTTCCTAGTTTTGTGAGGGGCTTTTGTTTTTTCTGAGTTTTTTTTTTTGAGGCTGTTTGCTTGCTTTGGAGGGGATTTTGCTTGCTTAAATTGGCAGCCTTATGTGTTTTCCCCCAACAGTGAAAATACAATTTAAAAATTTTATTAACAAGATCAAATGTTTACCATTGCAATATGAAGGAAAGTCTACAGTTCAAAATTGCAACTTATCACTGGAAAGTGTCTGAGTGTCTACTATAAAATAACAAGCTGTCTGGAATATCCTCTTGAAATACACACCGTCTTCAGTCTTTTCAAACAAACATTAAAACCCATCCATTTCCGTATCTCAGCAGATGAGCAAATCCCTGTTAATGGCCAGCAATGGCAGAGTTTAAAACCTCCCATTTAAGAAAGTAAACGTTTAATACAAGAATTCTGTAAATTCAGATTTAAATGTTGTATATATACAATTTATAGTGTTGCCATATTACCTGACCATTGACCCTGCAGGTAACTCACGTAGTGCTCCACCTACACGAGGGCCCCCGCCATCTTATGGTGGAAGCAGTCGCTATGATGATTACAGCAGCTCACGTGACGGATATGGTGGAAGTCGAGACAGTTACTCAAGCAGCCGAAGTGATCTCTACTCAAGTGGTCGTGATCGGGTTGGCAGACAAGAAAGAGGGCTTCCCCCTTCTATGGAAAGGGGGTACCCTCCTCCACGTGATTCCTACAGCAGTTCAAGCCGCGGAGCACCAAGAGGTGGTGGCCGTGGAGGAAGCCGATCTGATAGAGGGGGAGGCAGAAGCAGATATTAAAAACAAACAAAACTTTGGACCAAAATCCCTGTTCAAAGAAACAAACAAAAAAGTGGAATCTTTTCTGTCATAACTACCCAAGGACTACTAAAAGGAAAAATTGTGTTACTTTTTTTTTAAATTTCCTGTTAAGTTCCCCTTCCATAATTTTTATGTTCTTGTGAGGGAAAAAAAAGTAAAACCTGTTTAATCTTATTTGACTTTATGACATTGCTTTCAATAAGCAAATGTTAAATGTGTTAAGACTTGACTTGTGTACTAGTGTTGTAATTTTTCAAGTTAAAAGTGTCCCTAAAGGCCACTTCCTATATCTGATTTTTCCCAGTAAATGAGGCAAAACAATTCTAAGACCTTCCACAAACATCTAGCCATCTAAAATGGAGAGGTGAATCCTTCTGCCTATACAAACAAGCTAGCTATTAGAGGGTGGTCGGGGTATGCTACTCTAGGATTTCAGAGTGTCTTCAACTGAAATCTCAATGTTCTCAGTATGAAAAACCTGAGATCAGATGCTTATGTAAGGAAAGTGCTATTCACCCAGTAAACCCAAAAAAGCAAATGGATAATGCTGGCCATATTTTGCCTTTCTGACATTTCCTTGGGAATCTACAAGAACCTCCCCTTTCCCCTCCCCCAATAAGACCATTTAAGTGTGTGTTAAGCAACTACAGAATACTAAATAAAAAGTTTGGCCAAAACCAACCATGAAGCTGCAAACGGTGCTTGCTCTTACTGTTTCAAATTTTTGCAACTCTGTAGTGTCTCACTTTTAAGGAACAGCTTGATTGCAAAGGAGAAAATAGATAAGCAATGAAGTTATCTCCAACTTCTCAAAGGCTTATGACTTCTAAAAAGTGAATCTATCAGCATTCCACATCAGATTTAAAGCATCAAATGCCTGTGAAACAGCAAAGATGGTAAGCAAAGCAAACTAGTTTTTCCGTCTAAGTCGAGCTTGAACACTTACCTTCCTCATAGTACAGTGAGACATACTGTACCTCATGGCAATGGAAATGCTTTCTAGATTTAAAAAAAAAAAAAACTTTTGGAAAAGCAAAGTGTTCGATAGCATATTAGAAGTCCTCCAAATTTCAACACATGGATTTTTTTTTTTTAAAGCATGTATGACACTTAAAGGCCTTAATAATACAGCTGTTGTTTACCAATGGCGATCTGGGGCTTGGGGAGGGGGTGTCTTTTTTTTTTTTTCTTTTTTTTAAGTATTTTTGATGAAGACCTTTAAACATGCTTCATATGTTTTAACATTTTTCAAAATAGCCTTTTAGTCAATATAGGAAATGGCTTAAGTTTGGGGTTCCACACTCTGCCCCTGTAAGCCATTGCAAACTTGACATTTAGTTGGATGCCTGACTTGTTTTTAGTTCTTTGAAACTACACTGTATGGAGAAAATCTATTGCAAGTGGTCTTTAAAAAGCAAAACCTGAGGCAGCATGACCCAGGTCCAGCCATGAAGTTGAAAAAGATGCTCTTGAATATAGTAAACTTGAAGACCTCCAACTAAAATCCTTACACTGCACTTATTCCTTCAAATAAGTTTTGTCCGTTCAACTTATGGATTTAACATGGCAGTGCACCATTGGAACAGAATGAGAATCCATAAGCCATGCAACTTAACCATTTTAAGCCATTCCAGTCCATCCCAAGCCAGTGAATCTTCCACCACTTTGAGAATTAGTAGAACATGAAATAACGTTAAGCTGCAAGTCTGAACTTGCCTTTTCTTTCTGGAAAAGAGCAGTTGTAGGCAAGTTTTGAAGATTTTCCTTTAAGAGAGATAACTAGTTACATATTTAATTTTTACAGGTTGAGGATTTTGGTCATTATGGTTGGAGTGCTGATTTATTCACACTAGATAAAGCTGGCAGCAAGAGAAATCAAATGCTAAGGTAAGTTTTAAAAGCTGTGCCTTTTATAGGTGTAAGTAATAACTTTTCCACTTTGCATACCTGTGACATTTGTAAGTTCTCTGTGAAGGGGTATAATCTTGTGGATTAGGAGGATAAAGTGCTGTAATGTGTAACACCTGGTACGTTAACTTACCATTAGAATGTAGGGCAAAGTATTTTAAGGTGTATTTCCATTAGTGGCTCAGTTATACAATATTAGCATTTTTTCCTATATTCTGTTTTTCAGTGGAGTTATTTATCCTGTAACTGGAAGTTTGTACCTCTTTTATAATTCACATTTAAATATATAAAGCTTGCTAATATAGTCCCCATAAGCAGTGGTTGATTGGAGCTGTACACTTTGTGTTTTGGTATGTGAACAAACTTGGCATGAGGTTTTAAACTTGGCTCCCATGCATTTTGTAACGGTGCCTCCTCAGCCACAGTACAAATTGACTAAAGGGAGAACAGATGCCACTGCATCTCAGTTCCCACTTGGAGTAGCAGTGTTACAGGTGTAATGATGACCTGGTTAATACTCAGTATTACCAAAGTGATAACAGGAATTGTAATGAGTATTTTCGATTGCATTTTAGAGCTTGCAATTGAAAGCAAATGATTTTATTGCCAGTTAAAGCAATAAAGTATGTATTTAAGAATGGGTAAGACGGGAGTAATTTCTAGTATAAAAGAGTATCTTGTGATCTGATCACATGCTTTTCATTTTACAGAGTTGTTGAAGCAGAAGAATGCTGATTGTCGATAAGGCACAACAGTTGCATAAGCAGTACTCATCAGAATTGGTTTGGTGCAGGCAATAGATTTTTGCCTTCAGGGGTTCCTGTGGATCTAAGGAAGGAAGGCATCAATGTTGGTTAGCACTTAACTAGGGAGTGGTAGTTACTTTAAAAAAAAAAAGTGACCAGATAAAGGGGAGCAGTTAAGGAAATTGGTAAGTGGAGGTAGTAAGTTCTTGTGGTTCTTTATGTGGATTTTACAGCTTTGGCTTTCCTTTTGTTAAAGTCCTGGGGACAACTCTGCAATTTAGAACTTCCTAATTATAGCTGTCAGAAAGTTGAAGTAGAAAAATGAAAGGCATGAGTAACTCTATCCATTGAACTGTTTGATGTTTCAGCAAGTGGAACATTTGGTGTAGTTTATCCAGAAGTAGGGTTCAGCTATAAAACAAAGGGAGGAGTAGTGTCTGGAAACTAAAGTAACTGGAAACACAGCTGAAATGATTGAAAGCACACTTGAAAAACTGGAAACAATTGGGCCACTTGGCTTTTTTTTTTTTTTTTTAACTGTACTGTTTGTAAGCCTGCTTTACCCCCACCACCTGTCTTGGAAACCAGTCATGTTGGAGACTATAGAGTCGATAGTATATAAAGCTAATGTTCTCAAAGGGACTGGATTTGAGTTGTTGGGTTAGAAGAACTAAGTACAAAAACTTGAGACTTTTTTCATAGTAAAATCAGTGCTACCATGTTTAATCTTCGCAACTGTGAGAAATAGTCCAAAAATTTGTAATCCTCATTGGACAGGCTCTTCTAATCACAGACCGTGATGAGGGTATTGACCAAATTTAAGTAGTTGTTGCACTTAACATAGCTGTCTTCCTCAGTCCTCCTGTAATGTAAACTACTTGGGATTATGCTTCTAATACTTTTTGGCTCTGGAGATTTTATTTAGATATCTTGAAAATAGTGTAGAACATAGAAATTAATCATAGTAAACATGAATACTAAATTCAAATTAAGCATACCTAAATGACCATTTGCTGTTTGGCAAATAGTTTACTGACCCAGCAGACTTACTCCCCCATTGGAAAAAGAATCCGTCTTGATTCTTCCGGCTTTATACTGGTTGTAAAACAGAATGATAAAGAATGTTTTGTTTAACTGGTAGTTGAATATAGAACTTAGATATTATAGATCACTTTTCTCTTTTTGGAATGTTTTGTATTTGAAACTTAATAAAACTTAACATGCATTTTTTGTGGCCCCTGGGTTCTTTTTATTTTTTTGTAATAAGGACTTCAGGCTTCTCAATATGCTGTCCACCTGTTCCCCTCCCCCAAACTCTACTTCTCATGCACTTCACTTCTGAGCAGTTGCCCATGGAACATAGTCAACCAAGGTGGCCTGTTTTGTGACTAGGCCCCCTTTATTAGGGGAGCTTCAGGTATAGGTATCCAGGTAATTGAGGTGATTACATTTAATCTTTATCCCTAAGTGGGTAAATGGGAGCAGTGACATCAAAGAACTAGAAGTTGAAAGACCAAAGATGTACTCTGGTGCTTCTGCTTAACTCTTGGGGGAAAACAGGTCCATTTTAGCTCAGTTTGGTAGTGAATCCTAATTTGGGCCTTTAGCAGTGCTGTTAAACTCAGCACCATATGAATAACGTACTTCTGTATTGACAACATTCTCTGCTTTTGTCGACTGTTCTATGTACATTTGACTCCTGGTATACTGTTAAAACTAAAAGTTTAGTGACCTTTGTCCTTTATTCAAAGAAAGACAACCCATAGAGTGCAGGGCCTGGTGGAGTCTCTGCTTCCGGTCGGGGGGGGCGGTTGGGGCATGAATGAGTATCAGAGCATTGGAAGAGGTGGTGCAGAAAGGCATTGATTGGCTATGAGGTCTGATAGAAGGTGAAGCTGGGTTGGATTGTTTGGTGTGTTAGGTTTCCTCTGAGTGCATCTAAACATCTTGACAGGTTTAGATTTATGACATGGGCCAGACCACTGAGGCAGCCTCCATTCTAGGGGTATGCGTTATATGCATTAAATTCATCTGCACCTAAAAGTTGTATTTGGGTTATTGAGCCGTTGAGAAGTAATCACATGGGAAAGTAATGTCTGTTGAACATTAGGATGGCAGAATAAAGCCCTAGGTATTGTCCTGTAAATTTCTTAGCTCCACAGCAGTCAGTCTAGAAAAGCCAGTCCTTCTCGTCAATTAAGTTGCACACATAAGTGTGCTTCCCTAAACACACCTGTATCAATGAGCTCCGTATTTATAGATTTTGAAGATGAATGTTAAACTTTGAAATGTTGAAATCGGTGTACCATGAAATTTGGCAAAACATGTACTGTCAAGATAGAGAACATTGCTATCACCCAAGCAAAGTTACTTATGACTGCTTCCTAGAAAATTCTTGCCCTGCTTTTGCAAAGATGTAGACTAGTTCTGTCTATTCTGGAGCAGCAAAATGTAATCATAAAAGTGGAGCCTTGCAAAAAGTTGTGTTTTTTTTTTTTTTTAGCAAAATGCTTTTAAGATTCTGCCACATGTATATCTGTAGTTCCTTACCATTGCCAAGTATAAGCATGGTACAGTTTACCTATTGACGGAGACCTGGGCCTTTTCCAGATCTTGGCTATTATGAATAAAGTTGCTGTGAGTGTTCTGATATGTAAGTCTGTGCGTAATTAGATGAAAACACTTCTGTTTGGAACTGCTGGATCATAGGGTAGATAATTTCATAGTAAGTTGCCATTTTTCCAAAGTTGTAACATTTAACTTGCTACCCACTTGGAATTGAGGTTACTCAGTGCCCTTACCAGTACTTGGTGCTTTTAAATGTAGCCATTCTGGTGGGTACATTGTATGTATCTCAGTTTAAATTTATGTATCTCTGATGAATGAGTGGCATTTCTATTTTTTAAAAAATACAATTTATTTATAGTGAAATGCACACAGATCTTGTGTTCAGTTTGATCAGTCTTGGAAAAGAGTTGTATAACCCATTTATCAAGAGGCAGAACATTTCCCTCCAAAAAGTTCCTG